GCCTTTTTTTTTTTTTTAGACGCTAGAATACTTGAAATATTCATCTTCCCTTCAAACCACCAACATTCTAGTCAGGATATGTTCAGTACTGATCTTGAGTTGTAATATAAAACTATCAGTTTATATCAGTCCTACCAATAGGAAAAAAAAAATTCAGGGGCAGAGGATGAAATTTTTCCCTGCCAAATTTTGTCTTTCTCTGTGGGTCCATGCTAGTCTGTATCCCTGGTTTAGGCAGTAAAGTATCTTAGTGCTTATAGGATCTTAACACCCTGAGATTTACCAAGAACAATTATGATTTTAATATTATATTGTATTTCATTTCACAGGTTTGTTTTTTAACCTCAGTGGTTATTTCTATTTGCAATTCTGTTTCTTTTTAAATGTGTTAATAAAATGCTTGCATTAAGATTGGCTTGATGCCAGAATCTGATACAGTCTTTCTTCAAGTACGTGATGAAGCTTTTGGCAATATAGCACTTAGAGATCTTTGGATGCATCCTAACTGTACAAGTGGGGAAACTCTTAGTTCCTTATAGAGTTAAACTAAGGTCAGACTTGGTTTCCGACACGAAGTTCAGATGTATTGGCAGACCCCATGCTTGCATTTATTATACTGTAATTTGGGGCTTAAAGAGTTATATCCAGTCCATCCCCAACATCTGGATAGTGTTTATAATGATCACATTTGATCCTAATGTAATTTTGTTGGGGAATTCACTAGAATTCCTCTGTTGGCTACATTACAGCTGAACATGAGATCTGTTAAAATATTACCAAAAACTAGTGACTATCCATAGAGAATACAAAAATAGATTTCATTCTCCTTCCGACCCCCACCGCATGGCATTCATCTATCTGGGCTTCCTTGTCTCCATTGATAAAAATGGGGTGACTCTTTTAACAGCAGCCAACATTTGTCAAGGGTTTGAACTTTGAAAAGCAGAGCAGGCACAAAAATCTTTCCAGGATGATTATTGTACACATGCAGCTCCAAGGCAGCATCATAGACTCAACAGATAAAGATGACATGGGCTTGATGGAGATTTTTCCTGTCATTTTCATTTTGATTTAGATGCTATTATGTCGGGTTAGGAAAACATCACTTGGAAAGTAGAACCAAAGGATTGATTTTAGCCACCCTCCCCTCCATCAATGGAAGCCCCGAATGAATCAAGTTGGACCTTTTAAGGCCTGTAAAGGGAGCCTTTAATTATGAGGGAGGTACTGAGGGTGGAGGGACAAAGGAAGTTTGGCTGTGCAGTTTCAGGACTGCACAGCAAGAAGATTATTAGCATATTTCATATAATTTACTAGCTATGTACCATCCCCATGAAATAATTTTCACACTCAAAAAGAGATAGATGGGAAAAGAAAAAGATAAGGAAGGACAGAGACTGTAACAGTTTTTAGGGAGGGAAAATTGTTTCATTAAATCTAAACAGCATATGCTTTTCTGATGTACTGCATATGCAAGTCTATGCAAATTACTTAATAGCAGTGCACTCAAGAGTAATTTCCATTTCCTCCCAGGATTGTGACGAGAATATTCCTTTTAATCAGATTAGATGACATCCTCTGCAAACTTTTGGGGGTTTCAACTTAATTTACCATGCTAAGTAGTTAGGGTAATTTGAAATAAAGCAATCAGTGGGCTGAAATGAAGCCAAACCTCATTTCTGTCTTTGAGATGAGGAGCTGGCCGGCTGTGTGAGCCCCACAGGACTTCTCTCCTCTCCTCTCCTCTCCTCTCCCTGCTCCCCAGCACCCAAGATCTCAGCAGAGTTCCCAGTGGCCAGTTGCCTTGTTGTGATGGCACCTAGTCAGATCTGTTTCCCAACCGCAGAGCTTGCATGCAATGCTGCATTCCATTCGACCTCCCCCTACTGTTACAATTTATGGTGCTCTGGCAAGCAATGATGGAACGATGAATTCACACTCCTTAAAACTTTCACCTGGGGAAGTCATGGACTGCCACGCTAAAGGTGCTGGGGAAAGGGAGAAACATTCAGTCCAGTACCATGGATGGGCAAGGAGAGTCCTTGTAGGGAAGAACATATACCAGAACACACCTGAAGGTGACAGCTATTTCTCTATGGTGCCTGTGCTGCAGGTGTTGTGCTAGCCCTTGGAAAACTGTGAAGCTGGTTTTGAGGCATTGCTCAAAGTTGTGTGGTCTTTGTGTTGCACAGTTTCAGGGGTACCATTGTCTTGTTGTCATGGTACCATTTATAGCTACAATTCTCCAGCAGATGGTAGTAAAGGGCCTTGGGGAGAGAGTTGGAGTCCTTTTAAAAATGCATCAAGTTGCAGTTTGGACTAAAGGCTGGCTTGGCTTCCCCTTTCACAGGTCTGCTTTATGGGTGGTGGTGTTTGGGGAAGGGAAAGATTTTAATTGCTTAAACTAATGCCCTGCAGAGTGTTAGCATATGAGGTTTAAATATCATCTGTACTCAGGTTGTTATGGATTTACTAGCCACCAAGATATAAGTGAATTTAATGGTGAAATTTCATGTACCAAGATAACTAGTAAATTCTTTCCCTCTTTTTTCTTCAAACCCACCTTCCTCTTGAGGCAATACTTTGACCAAGCTCTTGTTGGTTTTGAGGCACTGAGATCTGATGCCAGTGGCATAGCAAGACATTTATTAAAGGGTTGTTTACAGCCTTTGGACATGACAGAGAAAAGAACAGGCTGCAATCAATTAGCTCTTTACAAATTATTAAGGACATCATATAACCAAAGCAGGTTCCTTCCTACCCACAGGAGCTATGGTTTTCTGAGTGCCTATTGTATCTTTCCATTCATTGTTTTTGTTAATCCCCGAGGCAGTCCTTTAAGGTAGTTATCTTTTCCCCCATTACACAGAGAAGAGAATGGGAAGCTAAGGGGCCCACAGGAAGCTTTTCAGTTAGCATGGAGATTCAAATATTAAGCTGCCTGACACGGAAGCCCAGCCTCATGTCACTAGAATGTGTCACCACCTGACGACGAAAAGTGGAACTGAGGGAGATTTCTTTCTTACCAGTTTGCGTTATGGTTGAATAGGTGTAACATGTGCATGATCAATTCAAATACACAGTCACAAGTAGGGTTCTGTCCTTCCATGCCTCTTCCCCCAGCCACACTCCCACTGGCAACCACAAATTTCCTGTATATTCTTTCAGAAATATTTTGTGCTTTTATAAACATATATGTATATATTCTTTTATATAAATGGTAGCACATTACACACACAGTTGTCTTTTTTACCACTTAATGTGTCTTGGAGGTGAGCTAAATAATTTTTTTGATAGCTGCAGAGTTGGAAATACTTCCCACTGTATGTGTGTATACCATAACTTTATTTAGCTGAAATTGATTTATTTAACTGATGCATTTATTCAACTGAGATTGATGAACCTAACAGATTATATTATCAAATGACTATTCCTATCCATGTAGTCCACCTTTAAAGACTTCCCGATGAACAAATGCCTCAACACTGGACTAGCATAAGGCCCCCAGAGTCACTAAATAGCAGATATATTTTTGAAGAAAGTTGTTTTGTTTTTTAAAAATATGACCTCTAACAGGTGTGCCTGCACATGCATACACAGACACCCACACAGGCTGCTTGCACTAGAATTAAAGGTTACCAAAGAAAGGTAGTGTTCAAGAAGCTAGTAGTGTTTATAGGGTCCTTAAGCCTCTTCAACAGTAGTTGAACAATGAAACATAGTTCATTCTGTCGTCTGTTTAAAACTCAACTCTCTTTGGGGTAGGATGAGTTGGATCTGTAAGAAAAAAGTAGGCATAGATCAGCCTTCCAGGAGAGAAAGAGAAGGAACTAATAACAAAAGAAGGAATCCCAAAATCTTTAAAGATAGAGAAAAACTCCCTTCTAATCCAGTAAAGTTCAGTCTCTTTGGATCGAAAGAATTCTTTGGGGTTGAAGTGAGTACTGCTCTGCTGTCTGTGTCGATACCTTATTAAGATGAATTATAACTTTAAAAGTGCTTAAGAGTTCCCCCCAAAATGGAATTCATATCCCACTAACTTCATTTGCTCCCCAGAAGTTATAAGGAGCTTGTTGATAGAGAGAGAGAAAATGAGAGAACACAGCAGTTATTTTCCCAATATCTACTTGCATTTGAGGTCGGGCCCTGTGTAGAATTTCCAGGATATCAGTGGAACATCTCTGATGATAGGCTTTCAAATAGTCCACATACTTTCATTTTGCCTCTGTCATAGGTTTCCTGTTTAAATGGCAATCTACTAAGGATCTATCCAGTATTTCCAGTATTGCACTTTTATTTCCACATATATGTTGTTAATGGAATTTTGCCCCCTGTCCAGCGCTCTTCCAATCTACTGCAAGCAGCCTATGTCGGGAAGTCCAAGGACCTGGGGGCTGGTCTCCTGCAGTACCAGCTGCCTTCACTGCTTCTCCCCATGCCATGCTCACACCATGCCACATCCTGCTCCATCTCTCATCTAAAGGCTATGATATTATCCTCTGGAAAGGTGGAGACCTCTTCATTTGCTGGTTGCAAAAGATCTCAGAAGTCTGATATGGAAGCATAGGGGCAGAGGGTGACTTAAAGCAGAAGCTACCAGAATGAAGGAGCTATCTGTGACATATGAAAAAATGGAGTGAGCTGGATTATGTAGAATCATGGTTTTAGATGTAGAAGAAATCTTAGAGGTCATCTAGTCTAGTGGTTCCTGAGCCTGGCAAGAGCATGAACTGAGAAATATTAAAATACATATTATATACATACATACACAGGCAGGAATGAATTTACACCACACCATGCAGGTGCAAGAAATGCCATGTCATTTATCTAAGTCAAATGAAAGCCCTTCTGACCAAGGTAGGGGTTCAGACCCTTCTTCTCTTTGGGTTGTGTAAGTGTTCCTGGGGACTTTTGCATGGCCATAATAGTCAACTATTGATGCAATGATGTATTGCAAGCTCAGTGACTTATAACAATAAATTTATTTCTTATGTTCACAGGTCTGAGGTTGAGCTCAGGTGTGCTGCACAAGTCATTCATTTTCCTTTAACCAACAGCTGTCGAGAACATGTTCTTCTCATGGAAAATGCCAGGAATGCAAGAGATCATAAAAAAACCTACTCAAGTCCACTCCAAGCCTCTGCTTCATTCACACCCATCAGAATAAGTCATGTGCCCAAGGCCAGTGGCAGTGGGGGAGTATCCCCACCACAGTGGGAGGGCACTGCAAAGTTACGTGACCAAAGGCCTGGGCGCGTAGTCCTATGACAGATGAGGAAACTTATTGGAGCAGTGACGCTTACCTTCATCTGGCTCCTGAGACATCTTACTGCCTGCCTCATTGGGGATTCCTGCCATGTTTCTTCTGTGGGTCCTTCTTTTCCCATTCTTTATTCAAGCATTCAGCACTGGCAATTCCCAGGGCTGCTTCCTTTGCATTCTTCTCTATTTGCTTATATCCCCTTGTTCGTCACATGGGAGACTCGGCTCTATGTGCCAAGGGCCTCCACGTTTCCATCTCCAGCCAGTTCGGAGCTCCAGATGCCTGAATCTCCACAGATGCCCAACAGACATCTTAGACTCAGCATGGCCCTTCCAGAGCTGCTCTCCCTACAGCCCTCTCTCTTTCAGTGACTGGAAAGTCCACCCTCCTGTCATTCAAGTCAACAGTCTTGGAGTCATCTTGAGTCATCTCTTTCCCCACATGCCCTTATCTGATCTCCAGGCAAATCCAAAAAAAAAAAATCCAGAACCTTGCCCCTTCTTACCACCCTCACTGACCACCCGCTTTGTATGAGCCCTGGTACCTGTCACCTGGACCACTTGGATAGCCTCCTAACAGGTCTCCTTGCTTCTCCTTTGCCACCCACAGTCTAGTCAGAGTAATCCTTTTGAGATGTAATTCACATAAAGTTACTCTTCTGCTCAAAACCCTATTTCACACAAATTAAAACCCCAAATCTTTGCAATGCCCTGCAACACTGTCCATCTGTTCCTAACATCACATCTGATGATGGTCTCCTACTGTTCTCCCCCTAACTCACTCTGCTTCATCCATCCAGCCTCCTTGTTTCTTGAACACCATGTGTCCTCTGCCTTGTTAGCTTGGCTTTCTCTTCTCAGATCCTCTTTGTGCAGATACCTGCTTGTTCAGACATCTGCCCCAGGTAGCTCCCTCACCTCTATCTAATGTTCGCTCAAACGTTACCTTCCCAGTGGGACCAAATGTGGCCAGTATGTTTAATACTGAACCTGATGCCTGCCCCCGGTCCTGAGAGAGTATTCATGATTCCCCTTAACTGGTTCTGCTCTTTTTATTTATATATTTATTTATTTTTATTTTGTTATCATTAATCTACAATTACATGAAGAACATTATGTTTACTAGGCTCTCCCCTATCCCAAGTCCCCCCCACAAACCCCATTACAGTCACTGTCCATCAGCATAGTAAGATGTTGTAGAATCACTACTTGTCTTCTCTGTGTTGCAAAGCCCTCTCCTTTCCCCCACCCCCACATTATACATGCTAATCATAATACCCCTTTCTTCTTCCCTACCCTTATCCCTCCCTACCCTCCCGTTCTCCCTGGTCTCTTTCCCTTTGGTAACTGTAGTCCATTCTTGGGTTCTGTGATTCTACTGCTGTTTTGTTCCTTCAGTATTTCTTTTGTTCTTATACTCCACAGATGAGTGAAATCATTTGGTATTTGTCTTTCTCTGCTTGGCTTATTTCACTGAGCATAATACCCTCTAGCTCCATCCATGTTGTTGCAAATGGTAGGATCTGTTTTCTTCTTATGG